AGGATGGCTTTGCGAGAATAAGACTTGACCAAGACCGACTACCAATAATAGGTAAACTATACTATGTTCATAGAAGTTAGTTTTAGAAAATATTAAGAATTTATGAGATGTATTTTATATTTTATTTGACTAAATGTAAGATGTGTGTGTGTGTGTGTGTATGTGTGTGTGTGTATGTGTGTGTGTGTATGTGTGTGAGATGGTCTTACTCCATGGCCCAGGCTAGTCTGGAATTTGTTATGTAGTCCAGGCTGGCCTTGAACTCTCAATCTTCCTGCCCCAATCAATCTTAGTGCTGAAATTACAAGCTTCTGTTTTGTTTTTTATTATTTTCTTTTTTGAGACAGGCTCTCTCAGGATAGCTCTGGCTGTCTTAGGAACTTGGTTTATAAACCACACTGACCTCGAACTCACAGAAATCTACCTGCCTCTACCTTCCGAGTTTGGGGATTAAAGCCTCATGCCACCATGCCTGCTTTTATTATTTTAAACCACGGAAGTTGTGTGGCTGAGACAGTCTCCCCATGTCTCCCTGGCCAGCCTGGAACTCTCTGTAAAACATGATGGCTTTGAATTTAGAGAGCCACCTGTCTCTGTCTCCTAAGTACTGGGATTAAAAGCATGTGCTACCATGCCTAATAACTTCCCATTTTATTTTTGGTTGTTAGCCTAGCCTTTTACGGCTCAGCCATCTCTCCAAGCCCAAGTTCCCATTTTAAATAAAATTTATATAAACAAAAATTCAAACAGTCTATCTTTCCTGGTTAACTGAAAATATAAGCATGGTGTAAAACTGATGGATTAATCGATACGATTAATTCACTATCTGATGTAAAGATTGACAACATGATAAATGGCCCTAAATTTCAATAGTGTCGTTTTTGTGGTGTCCTTTTTTATGATCGGCGCTTTTTGTTGAGGTTCTATGCTGTTTCATTCTTACCTACCCACGACCTCTCTCTTACTCATGCCCTTGGGAAGTCTCTCGTGGGACATTAAGGACTTTGGTGTTGATGGCAGTTACTTATTACATGTTCTCAATTTCCTGTTGGGCTGAGTTTTAACTGAGTGAAGAGTTGTGCATGGGATTCTGGGAAATGCATACGAGTCTCTTCTCGGTATAAACTTCACAAGTCTGCTCAAGTTACCTGTTCGGATTGATGATGTTTGAAAACTGTCTTTCAAACAGAGCCAGTGATTAATGAAGAAAGTGAAGGAATTGAACAAAACACGCAAATTAGGAGTCAAGGAATTATAGCCCTGAGTTACCGTGACTGGGAGGTAAGGCCCTGCAGGCTGCCCAGTGCAGTTCTTTGACTTCGTCTGCTGTAAACCCACTGCCTGAATATTCCTGTTTCTGACCAGGAGATTGTGAAGACCTTTGAGATTTCTGAGCCTGTGATCTCTATGAGTCAAAGCCAGCAGCGACTAAGTGCCTGATGCCAGCTGAAGGTAACATTTCCTACACGATGGCACACCCTTGTGTTAAAATTTTATTAGGCAACTCAAACCATAGTATTTCCTCATTCCCATGAAATTTGGGGTTTGCCTCCCTCTAGTGTTCTATTCCTAGAACTGTGCACCTGGTAAGGAAGGCAGAAGGCCAATGGCTGACCCTCAGGATTCCTTTGGTGTTCTTAAAAGATCGGTAGATGAAAGAGCAGGAGAACTCTTAATTGATTTGTTTTCACCTAACAATGGACGAGTGCTCTGGACTCCTCCCCAGTGTAGTTGACTGTTCTGTTCCATATCTTTAATAGACATAAAGCAGGAAAGGAAGACAAGCATAGAATTACCTTGGAGCGATGCGAGTAAATGGACATTTCTGAAATGAATTATGCTATGCAAAATTTCATTTTTTACAAAGGGGAAGATCTCTAGAAGGAAACTAACAATGATATGGTGCTCTGTACTGAAGACAGCACTGGGAGGAAAGGACCTTGAATCTGTCAGCCCTGCCTCTCAATTTTAAAATTTTGTGAAGTCATTTCATGTAACACATTTATTTTCATTAACTTTAAGTCTGTCTATAAAATAACTTTAGTTTTTTAGCATCAATTTTCTCTCACTTTGAGAACTAAAATGAGCTTTTAAAGTCCTTTGTAAAACTCAGTATGTTTCAATTAGCAGAACTTATTTTGTTTCAAGATAGCCTACCTCTGTCAGACTCTTGAGGGAAAGGGAACTCCGTGAGGAGTAGAGTGGCCTACCTGGTCCTACGCTGACAAGGGGCTAGTCACTAGGTGTATGTGTGTGTATAATATGTCAGCTATTAACCCGCTATCTTTCTTTCATTTTTTTTTTTTTTTAGAACTGGAGGCAATAGTGAAATCCTGAAAAGAAAGAAGCGTATATTGTATATATGTATGATTAAATGTTTTTTAAAGATAAAGATTGTTTTTCGTAAAATGTAGCTTTTGATAGTTAATGGATTTGTCATGGTTGTCTTTAATTAAAAGGAAATTCACTGCCATATTCACAAATGATTGTCTTTATTGTCTCTTGGAATATGGTCCTCCTTTTTCTAGTCCAATAAAAGTTTTAATTAGGTTGTCAGTGCATAATTATTATAGTTTTTAAAAAATGTTTCTTGAGTTGTAAAATTAGCTGACCAAGCTAACAGATAGGTTGTGCCAAATGAAATTGGGGTTTTTTTTGTAGGTTAAAAACAGTCATATAAAGCCAGACGGTGGTGGCGCATACCTTTAATCTCAGCACTCCAGAGGCAGAGACAGACATATCTCTGTGAGTTCGAGGCCAGCCTGGTCTACAGAGCTAGTACCAGGAGAGGCTCCAAAGCTACAGAGAAACCCTATCTCCAAACAAACAAACAAACAGAAATGATCAAATATTTTTTGATGTGACTTGGCCTATGCTTTATACCTAGGAAGCTGTTCTATCTTCTGGCAAGTGAAGTTGTACTGTGCCCCTGGCAGCAGCACCAAGGGTGGGCGCATCCTACAGCATGTCTCTTTGCCCTACTCACATATTGGGCTTTCTAGTTGGCCCTTGATGTTCCCTGGGTTCCTTCTCCCTAGCTTTCTATTTTTATCATTTCCTTCTTATTGCAGGTACTTTCTCAGTGGAAGGCTCTGGATTCAAGTTCTTCCCTTGTCCCAGGAGACTGCCCTGTCAGTCATCCCTGCTACTTTGTCTGGTGTTTATCCTTCACCATGCTTCTCTCTTTAAAAAACAATAAATAAACAGTTCCTGTGATTTTCATCTAAGCTAAGTATTACCTCTTTAAATAAGAATCACTTATTTAAGTGTGGGGTGTGGTGACGCACACCTCTAATCCCAGCATCTGGAGGCAGAGGCAGGTGGATTTTTGTGAGTTCGAGGCCAGCCTGGTCTACAGAGTGAGTTCCAGGATAGCCAGAGCTGTTATACAGAGAAACCCTGTTTCAAAACCAAAAAAGTCACTTGGTGGCTGGTGAGAAGGCTCAGGGAATGAATGTTTCATACCCATGTAAAGGAAGGAGAGAATCGACTCGCTCTAACCTCCACATGTGTGCTGTGTGGCATGCCCCCTTCTCATGATATGCACACACAGTAATACATAAAAATTTATTTAGTAAGAGCTGGGTGGTGGTGGCACACACCTTTAGTTCCAGCACTCGGGAGGCAGAGGCAGGCTAGTTCCAGGATAGGCACCAAAGCTACAGAGAGACTTTGTCTCAAAAAAAAAAAAAAATTAGTAAGAATCACTTGGAAATGTGTTGCAAACCCCTGGCAGAGCAGCTCCTTTCCTACCAATCTGAGTCTGTTACATCACTTTTTCCAGTTCCTTTCCGAATTGACTCCAGTGGATAATACTGTGTATTTGATGTGAACTTGTACACTCTAAACCCACATTCTTGGTGTTTGTCTCCCTGGCTCCCTCTCGTTGTTTTACTCCTTTGTTTTATACTAAATGCATTTATATTGGGGATAGTCTCAAAACTTCAGGTGTTTACACTTAAAGAGACTAGATCTATGTTAAGTCATTGGTCACTTAAAAATATTTCTCAAGTCTTAAAATCTCCGTAGCAATTTTCCTTTTACCGTATTTCACAGGAAATTTCATCCTATAAACTCCTCCCCTCCCCTGTCCTTAACCAGTCACTACCTTATAGTCTCTTTGTCCATCCTGCGCAGGCTGCTGCCCAGACATCCATGTAGTAGCCATTATTTGTCTGTTCAAACCACTTGCCATTTCCTAGTGATTATCGCTGCCTTCAAGATTTTATTTACTTTTGTGTATGTGTGTATATGATGCATGTGTGTTTACAGTGCCTGTAAACACACAGGCACTTACAGTGTTAAGAACACGTGTGTGCCATAGTGCACATCTGGTGGTTAGAAGGTGGTCTTTGGTCCCAGTCCTCTCCTGCCACCTTGTTTAAGGCAGTGTTTTTTTTGTTAGCTGCTGCCTCGTGTACTACTTACTGTCCATGTGTTTCTGGGGACTTTGTTTCCACCTTCTATCTTGCTATAAGAGTACTGGGATTACAGACATGTGCACCCGTGTCTGGCTTTACATGAGTTCTGATGATCTGAACTCAGGTGGTCGGGCTTGTGTAACTGCTGAGACCTCTCCCCTGCCTTCAGGCCTTTAAAAGTGTAAACCTTCTAATGATGTTCAGGACCTTGCAGGACATTTGGCCCTTTGTCTACGTTTTCAGGATTACTTCTCTAAACACTAGCAACCCTTCCTTTATGTCAGAACAGCTTTGCTTCCCACAATCCAACTCATCCAAGTAGGGTATGATTCAGTGCCTTAAAATCAATGGGGCATGCAATCATCACCAAAACATACTGTAGAGCACCCCTCCCCCATCCTAGGCCATCAGGGGCCATTCTGTCCTCATTTAACTTTTTTGCTCCTTAGCCCTAACCTCAACACCATTATTTTTCAAGTATGTATGTCTAGTGCTCTGTTTTCCCCTTTGATGTCTGTTTTCTATGACCTTATTGTGCTAATTACCATAAATTATGCTAATTAGAAAGAAATACAATAGTCAAGGAAATAACTTAAGCTTTTTTTTCCTTGCTAGTTGACTTTTCAAAAACGGTGGCATACTCAAGAGCTCTCTTTGGAGTGATTTTTGCACTTTATCCGCTTTCGACTTTTCCCTCAGAATAGTCACCTCGATAAGTTTTTCCTTAGAAGGCTGGAAGATGGGGTACGCTGTGACCTTTTCGAGCTCTTTCTCTTTCTCCTTCTTCACTTGGGGTTTTAAGAGTGGACGGATGCGGCTGGTGAATTTTTGCGTCTTTCTTTGCTCATTTTTCTGCTCTGTGAGTTCCCTCGCTTGCACCATGCGGTCTTTGTGTCGCTTCATCTGTTCCTTTGCCCATGCTACTTTGGGCTTTTTGGGTACAGTTTTGTGTGTTTTCTGGATATTTTTATTCTTTTTATCTTCTGGTATTAGTGGTTTTGGCGAAAGGGTTTCACTTGGAATTCTCTGAGGTATTAGTCTGTAATTGTGGTCCCTGAGGCCTCTTGCCCGTTCTGCTCTCTTTATGTGTTTTTCTATGTGATTCATTTCCCTCTTAGACACTAGATAGTCCCATTTGTTAGTGTTGTCTGGTATTTTGCTTCTTGACTTCTTCTCTTCCTCTGGGTTAATGGCCCATTCTGAATCTGGTATATAATTCCATGCTTCTTTGATCATTTCTTTATGTTGTTGATAGTAGTAGGAATCTGCTTTAGCAAACCGGAAGTCAAAAGACCTGGTCTTAAGTTTATCAACTGTTTCACTCTCCTCTTGGAACTCCTGGACTAACAGTTTTCTCACTCGTGAAGAATGGGTGCCACCTAAACTCTTGTCAGAGGGAGTAATCAGAGCTTTTGAGTTGGATGTCCTTTATTCTAGTCCCATAGTACAGCTCTCAGTGGGCTGTTAACCCTGTCTGGCACACCTATACCACACCCGGTTTAGGTCTAAGTCTCTCTCCCTTTAAGCCTCCTACACTCCTCCCCCAGACCATGCTCTATCCTAGGCAAGGACTCTAACTTGGACTTCCTTGAGAAAATGGAAGCACCCAACAGACACCTCCCCACTCCCACCCCCAGAGCCACCACCCCTCTATCCCAGACTCTGCCTTCCTGTTTTTGTCCTATTAAAACCTAATTCTTCACCAGTGCTTGTTGAACTTAAAGGATTTCATTCCTGTATCATCAACACTGCCTACTGGGTCACTGAAATAGGCATAAAGTGCACCTCAGCACAAAGGATCTTCAAACAAAAGACTCTTCCTTACTTCAGGTCTGTGGCTTTTTTACCCCTCTGCAATCTCATTTGCTGAATATCCCTGGGATTCCCCCCCCCCGTCCTCCATACACACCATATGGCTACTCATATCTGCCATACTAGTCTGTCCTTAAGATACAGTGTGCTCATACTGAGCCCTTCTTATATGGATACTCATTCAACAGAGTCCTCTTCCTTGGGTTGGTCCATCACCGATCTAGGCTGAACAGGATTTATAAGCCACAGTGACAAGGTACTTCCCTGCTCTCACCTCTCAACTTCAGTCCTGGTTTAATTCATTTATTTTCTGTTTTTCTTTTCCAAAACAGGGTTTTTCTGTGTAGCCCTGGCTGTCCTTGAATTCACTCTATAAACCAGGCTAGCCTTAGCTCAAATATCCACCTGCCTCTGCCTCCCAAGTGCTGGGATTAAAGGTGTGCACCACCACTGCCTGGGAGACTTGGTTTACTTGACATCTCTGCTTGCTTCATTCTCCAGTTTCTACCTTTTCAGTCTGATCACTTCCAGCTTTAGTTGTATTTTCCTTTAATTCTCCTGCCTCTACCACAGGGTGTTAGCCCAGTTGTTATCTCTGTCTACACAGTGGTCCTATCTTCCCAAGCCTGCCAAACTAATCACTGTAGCCAGAGTTACCTTCTTATTACATAAATCTGAGCGTGCCATTTTCCTGCATAAGCCTTGGGAAGGAAGCTACTACATTTAGGAGAGAATCTCAAATTCCAGTATAGTGTACAGAGCCTCTCATTAATCCTCAAACCATGTTTTCAGCTCACTGTATATTCAGCCACACTGAATTCTGTTCCCTAAGACAGTATTCTCTGTCCCATATGAATACACTTCCCAAATACACATCAGTAACTCTGATAAACATTTTTACAGATTTTAAAATCTCGGCTGGCATACCACCTCCTTCAGCCTTCCATACAGTCTCTCAGAAAACCCAGTCCTCTAGTGACATCGCAGTTTGTGGGAACTAGTTCTGTGGTGTCTCTTACTAGAAAAAGTCCTGTCAGAGTACAGGTAGCAGCTGTTCTGTTCAATGCTGTCCATCCAGCACCGCTGAGAACCAAATTCAAAGCTAAGCACGGGTCAGGACATTTTCCCCTAAAATGCTGGGACCTTTTTACCTCCAATAAACTTTTATGACCTTATTACAGAATCCAAAGTTCATGGCAAATACATTTCCTCACCTTAATTTTCTTTTCTAGTGGGGAATAGGAACCTACTGCAATCCGAGGGTCTTGAGAACTCTTAGCCCAGGCCAATCTAGGAGAAAAGAAAAATTATACTGGGACCGGAGAAAGATGCCAGGAACGAGCTCTGGAATGAACCGCAGAAGGGAGGTAGGGAAGGAAAGAGGAAGAGAGAGAGAGAGAGAGAGAGAGAGAGAAACAGCAGAGAGGGAGGGAAGCAGGCAGATAGAAAGAAAGATGGGCTAGAGAGATGGCTCAGCCATTAAAGGCAAGATTCACAACCAAAATAAATAATTTATTTTAAATGGTAAGAATCATGAAATAGTATAGTTAGGTAACTATTGTGGGAAATCGATTATATATTTACATACAACTTCAATTAAAATAAAGTTATATTTGAAATTTTTTTATATCCAAACATTTTTTCTACTTAAAATATATACAGTGATTTGTGGTAATTGAAACAGTAACAGCAACTCAATCTTTCCAGTGTTAAAGTTGTTTCTGACAGTTACAACCCCCAACAAAATATGGCTCCTTGTGTAGACTTTAATCAAAAGTACAAACATGCCTTCATTTTGGTGAAGACAGAAGCTAACCATACACAGAGTTCCCCCTGTTGGCAGAGAGAAGGGCCTTCTGCTCCCTGTGAAAAGCAGGTACCAAATCAGCTCCCTTCTGAGGTTCTTCTCTACAACAGGTTTGTAGAGAAATGGCTCCTTTAGAGGCAGCTTTCTGGTTTAGTCCTAGTGGCAAACCCAGGCACAGGCAGCTCTTTTAAGAGGTCTTGCTAGTCAACACTTAAATGGAGTTCATAAGCAATGGGTAGTATGCTACTTGGTGGCAGTGTGGCCCCAACAATTTCTGATAGCTGGGTGGTAAACATGTCTCCCATGGTTGATACCTCCACCATAAGGCTAAGCTCTTACAGAAGCAAGGTGGGAGGAGCCAGACCAAGCACCATGTACACCGCCGTAAACTAAGTTGAGCAGTGCTGGTGACTAACATACCAGTTTAACATTCATTCATCTCATGCCATCAAAAACTGTAACATGAGGGCTGGCTTGTTGGGGTTTCTGTCCCGCCCGGTACTCCACAGCCGGCAAGTTCCAAAGAAAATCACACGGAGTCTACATTAGGTTATAAACTAATTGGCCCATTAGGTAAGGCTACTTATTAGCTCTTATAACTTATGTTACCCCATTATCCTTATCTACGTTAGCCACATGGCTCAGTACCTTTTCCAGCGGGGCAGCTTACATCTTTCCTCTCCGGTGGTCTGGGCAGAAATGGCGGAGGGAGCTTCCTCTTCCCTAGCTTTCTCCTATTCTCATTGCCTCGCCTCTACTTCCTGTCTGGTTGACCCGCCTCTACTTCCTGCCTGGCCAATCAGCGTTTTATTAAAATCCATGATTGACAGAATACAGACAATTCTCCTGCACCATTTCCCTCTTTTTTTTTTTTTTTAAACAAAGGAAAATACCCCTGGTCCATTTGTTGGGAATGTGGGCATAGTATTTCAGGCTACTTCCTCCTGGTTGGGGGCGTTGATAATCTTATGGGGACCTAAAGAAAATTTAGAGTTATAATCAAGTCCTGACTGAAGTATCCTGTGAGTCTCGATCATCTCAGGCAGCAGTCTTGAATCTGTTCTGGATGTAGAACTCAGACATCTGGGACATCTGTTCCTACCAGAAGTTTCTCAGGTGGTCTTCCTTTATCGAACCTGATTTTTCTTAACTCAGAATGAATCCACAGCTTCTCATTTTCTGTGGAAACAAAAGCAAAATCTCTTCTCCAAAGTAATATACCTTTTGACTACAGTTTTAAAGCCAAGGTATTTTCAAAATACCTATCTTGGATTAGTTCAGCAGCATTTATAAACAAAAATCTTTTAGCAGCTGTTGCTCCTTCTTCAGCACTCAAACAATTCAAAGAGAGCATAATAACATACAGTATCAAGATTTTCCATGTATTTTTCATCTTTATGTGGCTTTATTTTAACCTCTGTTTCTTTTATTTTTACTTTTACTTTTTGAGACAGTTTCTCTGTATACCTTTGTCCTGGAATAACTCTGTAGACCAGGCTGTCCTTGAACTCACAGAGATCCCTCTGTCTCTGCATCTTTGCTGGGCTCAAAGGTGTTTGCTACCACACCTTGAACTCACAGAGACCTGTCTGTCTCTGCCTCCCAGGCATTGGGATTAAAGGCGTGTGCTACCACACCTTGAAGTCACAGAGGTCAATGTACCTCCGCCCCTTGAAGTCACCGAGGTCAAAGTACCTCTGCCTCCCAAGTGTTGGGATTAAAGGTGTGTACCACCACTCCCAACTACTTTCTTTCTTTCTTTTTACTTTAAGAACTTTTAACTTTTATCCTGCATATATTTTTAACACACTGTAAACCATTTAGAGGTTTTCTTCCTCTTTGAATCTCTCTTTACTGTATATCTCTCTTTTTCTGATCACATGGGCCTTTAATTTACTAAGCAATATTGGTAGGACTAAAGCCGTGGCTTTGACAGCTAGATCCAGCCCATTCTTTAGCTTTCCATCCTCGTGGCTGAGGTACCGGCTGCAGCCATTTTTCTTGCCACAACGCTATGGCGTTTCAAGGTCCTTGCCAGCAAGCAAGCTGTAGCATTCTGCTCACAGACCACACTCAGTCGGACTGCCTGCCTAAAAGAGTTAGAGTTTGCCCTGGCAGGACGGCCCAGAAAGCCAGCATTTTCAAATGGTGAAGCTTTTTTCCTGGTACGGCTGAAAACTGAAAAGTATGCGTTCAGCTTTTCATCAACACTGTTTAAGTGTTTCGTGGCAGGACCTTTTAAAAGAGCTGCAACGTTTTGCAGCTAAAGCTGAGTCAGGAAACCTCTCTTAGATGAGAGCGCCTGCTTGCCTCTAGCAAGCAGAGCAGATCCGAGAAATTGCTGCTACCAAGAAAACATGACTTACTCTATTCTATCCCAAGCTTTCTCAGGCTTTCTGTGGATGCAGTTGTCCACGTGGGCGCCATATGTAATATGAGGGCTGGCTTGTTTGGGTATCTGTCCCGTCCAGTACCCCACAACCGGCAAGCCCCAATAAAAATCACACACAGGACTCCATAAGATTATAAACTGATTGGCCCATTAGGTCAGGCTTCTTATTAGTCCTTGTAACTTATATTAATCCATTATCATTATCTATGTTAGCCACACGTCTCAGTACCTTTCTCAGCTGGACAAGTTACATCCTGCCTCTTCGGTGGTCTGTGCAGGAGTGCTGGAGGGAGCTTCCTCCTCCCTAGCCTTCTCCTATTCTCATTGCCCTGCCTCTACTTCCTGTCTGGTTGACCCGCCTCTACTTCCTGCCTGACCAATCAGCGTTTTATTAAAATACATGATTGACAGAATACAGACAATTCTCCCGCACCAAAAAACCAACACAGATGCTCAGTAAAGATAGATCCAGATGGGAAAAAACCCTCTAACTGGGTTACAGTATGATTAAAAATGTACATAGGCTTGGGAGAGAAAAGAGAAATGGTATAGACAGTCACAGAAAAAGATAGTTTAAAGATAATAAAGTGTTTAAAGAAAGAATAAAGTAATATAAATGAAAAAAGCCACACAAAGATGGAAAATCCATGGGGAGTCTGAATCCTGTATGTTATTGTGTTGTCTTTGAATTTTCTGATTGCTGCTGAAGGAATAACAGCTGCTAAGATATATAATGAATTATAAAAACTGCTCGATTAAATCAATTTATTTCTTTTAAAAAATATCTTGACTTCAAAATGGAAGTCAAATGTGTGTTGCTTTAGGGGAAAGTTTATGCTTTTATTTCCACAGAAAACAAAATACTATGTATTCATTCAAGGTTAAAGATGAGCAGGCTTGATCAAGGAAGTCCACCCCCTGAAAATCCTGACTACAGACATAAAGAAATAGAAGAACTACAAGATATGTGATGTATATTTTACCTGCTCAAACAAAACGAAAGTCATCTTTGGCTAACTTGTGTACAACACATAGTCTATACCTGTATTAGTGCAGACATGTATGTTACCTTTAAAAGTTTATCTATTTTCAGAACAAGGGGACCAGGTACCAGTGAAAATGGATGGCCCCAGGTGATTCAGCATCTCAGAACACTTCTGTTACAGTCTCCTCAGAATCCAAAACAGCTTCAAGGCTGCTGGCTGATATGGTTCAGTCTCACAGCCTGCTCCAACCAAGACTTAGTTCTGATTTTCTCAAGGTTTCCCCAAAGATGCCGGCACCCCCAAACAACAGGAAGCAATCTAGAAAAAAGCTATGTCCACATTCTCAAAATATGGATTATGGATGTTTGTTATCATTTAAAGGGGGTTGGTTTCAAGTTGTTATTGGTCATAGGAAAAAAACTAGACAAAGAGGTTAAATTCAAAGATCTCTTTCTAAAGGAAAAAAGGGGGATATGATATAAAAATGACAGGAAAGAGGGTAGATTATTGAATCTAATCCAAAAAAGCAGCTATTAATTTATTTTACATTGGTATGGATTTTGGTTTATTGATACACATTTAAAATTTTGTTATACTATGTATATGTTTCTACTCTTATTTGGGGGTATTGTGTGCAGATAAATAGTTATTTGTAATAGTCAAACTTAATAGTCATGTTAGTGAGACAGATCTGCTCCTGACAGCACCTTCAAAAAAAAAAAAAAAAAAAGATGATGGGCATCAAAGACCCTCCATATGGAGTTTAAGTTCTTTATGGCAAAAGCTAACCATTTGGGCAAAGAAACCGCCCTTGCCTCAATTGCTGATAGTCAAAACTGATTCTGTCAAAACTGAACCAGCAGGGGCTGGAGATATAGCTCCGTGGTTAAGAGCACTGACTGCTCTTCCAGAGGACCCAGGTTCAATTCCCAGCATCCACATGGCAGCTCACAACTGTCTGAAGATCCAGTTGCAGGGGATCTGACACATTCACACCAATGCACATAAAATAAAGTTAAATAAACCATAAAAATATTTTTTAAAAAAAAAAAAAAACTGGACCAGCAGGAGGCAAAAGAAGTGACTGCCAAACTTTGCTATGACAAACTTCTCTGCTCAGAAATGTCTGTCAGATATACTGGACCTGTTGGCCGAAGTTGGATGCCCCAATGTTACAGAAGAACTTTGGGTGACTGTCCCAGTTATTAGGTAACATTACACCCTTCTGGGGTCTTTTGAGGGAGTTAAAGACTAAATAATTAAAGTTTTCCTTAGTTATGATAAAAAAGCAAATTAGGAGGGTGAACGGCAGCGAAGGTGAAGATGGCGGCGCCCGGGACTGCAGCCCTGGGAGTCCGGTGGCTGCAAAGGGCAACCCGCCGCATGGTGCCACAGGGGTCATGGAGAGCCTTCCATATGACCAAGGACATGCTGCCAGGGCGGTATCCTAGGACTCCAGAGGAACGCGCCGCGGCCGCCAAGAAGTATAATATGCGCGTGGAAGACTACGAGCCGTACCCGGATGATGGCATGGGGCGTGGCGACTACCCGAAACTCCCTGACCGCTCACAGCAGGAGAGGGATCCATGGTATGAATGGGACCACCCCGACCTGCGGTTGAACTGGGCCGAAACAATCCACTGGGACCTAGACATGTATATCAGGAATCGTGTGGACACATCCCCTACACCTGTTTCTTGGGATGTCATGTGTAAACATCTCTTCGGCTTCGTGGCCTTCATGGTTTTCATGTTCTGGGTTGGGGATACTTTCCCTTCCTACCAGCCTGTGGGGCCGAAGCAATACCCTTAAAATAATCTGTACCTGGAAAAAGGCGGTGATCCTACCAAAGAACCTGAGCCGGTGGTTCACTATGAGATCTGAGGAGGCTTCCTGGGCTTTCGTGCCCTCTGACTAGGACTCCCTCATTCCTAGAGGTTTAACCTTAATGAGATTCTTAATAAAACTCAGTACCGTGAAAAAAAAATAATAGAGTGTTTTCTCTAATTTTGTCATATACAGACAGACTGGATAGTGTAACTAATTCTTACTTGAGAATTAGTTTTGTTATATATAATTTTACTGTGTTAAAGTTAAAACCTTCCTTTTTATTTAGACAAAAAGGGGGAAATGGGCAGGGTTTTCAGGGCAGAGAGAATGCTGGGAAGAAGGGCAGAGTCTGAAGAGTCACAAGCCAGACACAGAAGAAACAATATGAAAAAGATTAATAGAAATGGGTTAATTTAACTTGTAAGAGCTGCCTGAAGACAAGCCTAAGCTATCAGTCAGTCAGCTTTTTATTAACAATGAGAGCAACGTATTTTCATAGTGTACAGAAGGGGTATTCCACAGCACAGGTTCTCACTAGGTAGTTCTGTAACTCAGAGAGCTGCCTATATCTGCCTCTACTATGCCTATTAATTTTTAAATAGATTATAAAACAATTGGAAGACAAATTTTAAACCTTAATGAAGGAAAATATAGCAGGAAAATTGTTCTTTAGGATGGAGTAAAGTCACATTAACCTGATTAGTAAGCAAATTAGTGCTATGTTTGTCAATTTACACATAAACACTGTTGTTTATTAGCAACAGTAAGTTTTTATAACAGAATTGTACACAACCTTCGTATCTGTCTTTAATTTCTTTTCCACTACTTCTTTAAGAGTTTATGTTTCCATAGCAACGCTCCTTGAATTTACACTAGGTATTGTTATAGAAGCCTACATGGAATTACTTAATCTTCCAAACAATCTTGAGAGGTTAGTATTCATTATTCCCTGCATGTGGCAAGGAGAATGGAAGCCATGAAAGTTAATGACTCGTTAGTGATCCTAGTGTTACTTTCTTAGGCCGATGAGTCCCATGGGACTCCATTTGTAACCGTACATAGACTTATATTCTTTTGCCTTATCCCAAATGGAGGGAACACTTACTGTTCCTCTGCGCTCATCCCGAACCACTCTGAGTCTGTCACGATGGGTGGCTGTGAGGTGACAGCCCTCAGTGTTTCTCCGTTCTGCTGTGGGAGTCTTGCACTGCATGTTCTCCACAAAGCCCTTGTGTTCGCTTGTGCTGGTTCTGTGGTTTGGTGTGCCTTCTCCGCAGCGTTCTTGGCTTCAGCTATTGCCCTGCTATTTGCTAGCTTCATGAACAGCATCGTTGCTCTCCACCTTCGCTCTTGTCCCCTAAGCTCTTAATTCCTCATTCTCTATCTACAAAGAATTGGTTTCTAGCCACTGACTTTCTGCCCTCAGTTCAGATTTTCAGCTGCCCACTGTTGATCATGGAGGATGCCTTGGGTTGATTTCTAAGGCAACGCAAAGCAGTCACAGGTTTCTGTGTCATCACTACCCCTGAAGGAACCCACTATGAGGTGATAGATGACAGTGTAGTCTGTAGGCAGGAAATGGACTATCCTTTGGGTGAGCTGGTCAGCAGCCAGAAGGAACCATTTCTTAAGACAGGGACTCAACTACAGAACATGTGGTCAAAAACAGTCTCTAATAGCACTGAAGGTGTCTTTTCAATTTTTGTGCTTTAGAACATAAACCGTACATACTCCATGTAAATGGATCATACCTATCTGTGCTGTTGAAGGCTAGATATATACGCCGATTGTGCAGTCATGTGGTCTCATTTAGCAGGTATATCACTCAGCTAAATATTACTTTGATAGTTTGATAGAGGTTTTTTTTTATTTTTTGGTTTTTGAGACAGGGTTTCTCTGGGGGCCTGTCCTGGAACTAGCTCTTGTAGACCAGGCTAGCCTCGAACTCACAGAGATCTTTTGCCTCTGCCTCCCCAGTGTTGGCACTAAAGGTGTGCACCACTACCACCTGGCTGATAGAGGTTTAAATATATCTTTAGTCACAGTATTTAATTTATACTCATAACTGATCAGCTATGACACCTTGAGAAGAATGCATTCATTCTACTTTCATCGGATGAATAATTTTTTTTTTTTTTCGAGACAAGGTTTCTCTGTAGCTTTGGTGCCTATCCTGGAACTAGCTCTTGTAGACCAGGCTGGCCTCGAACTCACAGAGATCCGCCTGCCTCTGCCTCCCGAGTGCTGGGATTAAAGGCGTGTGCCACCACCGCCCGGCTGAATAATTTATAGGTGTCAATTAAGTCCAATTGATTGATTATAACATTCAACCCAAGTACATCTTTACTGATTTTCTTCTACCTATTCTCTTCTGGATCTGTCAGCTACTGAGAGGCAAACACAACTCCAATAGAAAAGTGGATTCACATGTTTCCCCTTGCAGTTCTATCAGTATATACTTCATATACTTGGGCATTCCTTTGTTGTGTGCATACACATTTAAGACTGTTATGTCTTCTTGAAGAATTGGTCATTTTATCATTCTATAATATTTCTCTTTATCCCTAATTTGTATTGCTATTGAGCCTGGTCTATGAAACTGATTTGGTTTAAAGTTTCTCAAAGCAAGATATTTTTACTCATCGTTTCTATCCACCTATTTCTGTTTGGAGTGAGTCACCTGCGGAAAACATTTGTTATTATTTTGACCAGGTCTCACTATGTAGACCAGACAGGCCTCTTAGCTTGTTTTCCTCCTGCCTCCACTTTCTAACTGATGGGATTCCTCGTATGTATCACACCCAGTACTGGGTTTATTTTGGTGGGGGTGAGTAGTATATCCAGAATTGAATTCAGAGCCTCTTGCATCCTAGGTAAGCACTCTGTCATGGAGCTGTGCCTGTTCAGGGACAGCTTGTGTTTTCAATTGGTGTATCGAGGTCACTGACATCTAAAGTAATTATTGGTTGGATTTGTTGTCATACTTATTAGTTTTCTATAAGCTTTTTTGTTTTATTTTTTAAAGCTAGTTTTTTCCTATGTAGCACTGACAGGCTTTGACCTCTCAGTGTAGGTCAGGCAGGTCTTGAGTTCACAAAGAATGTCTTGGCTTCCTGAGTATTGGGATTAAAGGCATGAGCCATCATAGAAATATATAAGTTTATCATCTTTCTTTTCCTGTATTTTTAAGTTTTAGTTTATTACTTAGTGATTTCATTTTCTTATTTGCATATCAACTACACTTATTTTTTTAAATGGTTGCCCTTGAATTTATAGTATATGTCTACAATTAATACAAGTTCTCTTTCCAATACAATATACTACTTTGCAGGTTATACAGTACCTTGTGATAGAGAATCTGCAGTTCCTATCTCTTATCCTCATAACCCTACTGCCATTCATTTCCAAAGCTGTAATTATCATATTACTTATCCATAAACTATAATTACTGAATGCAAGTTGCTATTATTTCAAATCAATCATTTTGTGTAAGCAATTAAGATTTAAAAACAAATTATTTTACATCCATTTTTCTTTGTCTAGGGTTTTTTCTTTCTTTAGAACATCTGAATTACTTGTTTTCCTTTTCCTGAAGAATTTACATTTGATGCAAAGCAGGCAGACTAGAAACACACTTCTTTATGGGAAAGTCTCGATTTTTCTTCCATTTTTGAAGGATAAATTCTCTGGACAGAATTCTAGGTTTTGTTTTTCTTAGAATACTTAGAATATGTCATTCTTGTTTCCATGGTTTCTGAAGAGAATTCAGATATACAGAAGATATATATATATATATATATATATATATATATATATATATATATAACTTTCTCTCTGTATTATTTCATTATTTTCTCTGATTTTCTGCAGTTTGAGTATGATAAGCCTCTGGGTTACTTTGAAAAAAATATTTTATGTGTGCTTGTGTACACAAGCGGGTACATTTAAAAATTTTTTTTTTACCACTGTGCAAATGTAGAGACCAGGGAATTACTAGTGGGAGTCAGTTCTCTCCTCCTACCATGTGGGTCCAGGGATGAATCTGTGGAAGATGAGACTTTGCAGTAAATGCCCGCACCTTCTGAACCATCTCACCAGCCCTATGTGTAGCTTTTTGGAGGCATTTTCCTGCTTGGTATTTGATAACTCTATTTGGAAAATTCAGATTTAAATAAAACTAAAAATTTTGTTCCTCAGTGATATAAGCTCTATTTTAGGTGCTCAGTAGCCTCATGTAGCTAGTTAGTACATGCCAGACTGAAGAGCCAGGTCTTGACAAGATGGAGTGCAGTCTAGGTCTCCTGCGAGTGGTGCACAGAGGAAAGTGTCTTCCGGGAGTCTACTGCTACCAGCCCACTTCTGCCCTTTCCCACCCTGTTGAGTCCACTTCCCCTGGAGAATGTTTTCCTTCTCCACCCTCAAATTAGCTGTTTCTGTCTCTAGCTTCCCTTAGGTTGCACCTACTCACAGAATCCTCTAGGGGTCAAGGAGAATGTTTCACATATGTCCCTTTAATTGCACTGTGGGCCTGCTACTATCACGCAGAAACCCTTCACAGTATCAATGCACAGCGCTTCACAGACCAGATGCCACACCTGTGTGCTGAGCTACCAAAACTGAGCAGTGCAACTTGACAGCTGTGCCCTGTCAAGAAAGAAAGTTAAAAGCAAAGACAACTCTTCATTACTCCTTTAATAGAGGGAACAAACAAACTGAGCTTTGCTTTTCCCTCCCCTCATTTGGGCCTAGAATAGAAAACAACATTGCCTTTGGCTTTTTAGCAAAATATAGCCATCCAGAAACCACTGATTCACACAAGTCTACCTTAGTACCTATTGGGTTTTTTGTTTGTTTGTTTTTTCTTGATAGGATCTCATGTGTAAACCTGACTGGCTGGAATTCCCTATGTAGATCAGGCCTCAAATTCAAAACAATCCATCCTGCCTCTGCCTCCTCACTGCTAAGATTTAAGGCATTCACTACATATGGGGCTTACTGGTTTCTTTTTATTACTGCTATCCCTCTCGGATGTCTCTTACTAGTTGTATACATTCAGCGAGTTATGCAACCTCTCTGGCTGATGTCATTCATCTGGTGATGTTGCAGTAATGCAAGGTGAATCAACATACATGCCCAGGATTTTGGACATTTTCATTATTATTGCTCAAGGTTGGAATATTCTAGAGCACACTGACTAAGGTTGAGGCGAAGTGACAGAAGAGTTTAGTAGTTTCCTTCTATCTGCTTTTATATCTATATTTTCATTAATTCAAGACTCCCAGTAGATATTTGGAACTGTAGATGACAGTAGTTTAAGGGACTCTAGCCAGCTCGGGCTTGGCAAACATGGCTCTGGCAGGC